CTAAGGTAAAAAAACAACAATTCATATTCATAATTCAAGTTCCAAGAGCTCTACAGAATTCTCTCAACGAAATTCAAGTGTTCTTGAAGATCCAAAGGCGTTCTTGAAGATCCGAAGGAAGATTCAAGCGCGTTCAAGTCCAAGACCGACGTTCAATCCGGAAACAAGCTGCCAAGCCTCCGAATTGCGTTATTCAAGTTCAAGTGTTTTGAAGATCCAAAGGCGTTCTTGAAGATCTGAAGGAAGATTCAAGCGCGTTCAAGTCCAAAACCGACGTTCTATCCGGAAACAAGCTGTCAAGCCTCCGAATTACGTTACTAAAAGTCAAGACCGGCGTAGAGAAGATCAAAATCAACTTTGCGACGAAGACCAAGGACTTGTGTTCTTCACGTTCTTGGGAAATCACGGCGTTCGATTCGAGATCAAGCTATCAAGCCCTCGAAGAAACGTTATTTAAATCCATATTCAAGACCGGCGGGGATCAAACTGAAGATTCGTCTCCAAAAGTCTCAAATTCATTTGAAGACCGCTCTTGAAGAATTTAATCAGAGGAATAATAGAGATTTGTAATCCACTATATTTCTTTTGATCCGTTGAAATCTATTTATACGAAGTTCTCGTGTTTATTAATTTAATAAACGAAATTTTGCGTTACATCGGGAATTCCATTTCAAATTGTGAGAACGAAGAAATGATTTTGGGATTAGGGTTAGATTTTGGAGCTACATATTTTGGCGCTCGATTTTATTCGTTACAATTAAAAATATTTAAAGAAAATTATGTGGAAAAGATGAATTATTTGAGAAAAAATGACTGTGAAAAAAAATTGGAGTTCATGTTAGTTAATCGGCCACAAATCGGTGCACATCAGCCTAATCGATGTCGAAATTTGCCAACTCAACAACTTCTGATAGGATTCCAACGACCAGGATCATAAGACTAATTTGGCTAAAATTTGGAAGTTTTTAGCATGGTTCTGAAAACCAGAATGGACCGGCCAGTTCAACCGATTGGACCGGGAACCTGCCTTCATTCCGGTCCGGTTTGAGCCATCAAACCGCCAAGTATGAAAACAGGTCAAGAACCGTTCGAACCGGTCCAAAACTGGTTGAACCGGTGAATTGTGACCGGTTCGAATGGTTCACCGGTTCAAGCTTATG